TGTAGAATCCAAAAACTACAAAGCTTCATTTCTTTCTTGTCAATTGAAAAATACTAGTAAATACACCCTAGTGAAGAGACTAGTTGTTACTATAGGTGAAAAGTCTATATATTAAAGTTTAGTTTTTAAGTATTTTATTGAGGCACATTTTTTAAAAGGAAGGGCCCAAGTTCTTGGTTAAGGAGGAGATTAGGGGTGCCTGGGTGCCTCAGTTGGTTAAGCATCCAACTTTCACTCTGGTCATGATCTCTCGGTTTGTGAGTTTGAGCCCTGCATCAGGCTCTGTGCTGACAGCTCAGAGCCTGGAACCTGTTTTGGATTCTGTGTCTCCCTCTCTCTCTGCCCCTCCCCCACTCACGCTGTCTCTCTCTCTCAAAAAAAAAAAAAAAAAAAAAAAAAAAGATTTAATAAAAAACATACACAAGAACTGAAGGCTAAAAATACAAGATAAGATAACTAGCCCTTGGGGAGCCTGGGTGGCTCAGTTGGTTGGGTCCCTTGATTTCATCCCAGCTCATGATCCTAGGGTTGTGGGATTGAGCCCCATGTCAGTGTGGGCTCCACTCAGTGTGGAGCCTCCCTAAGCTGTCTCTCTCCCTCTGACCCTCTTTGCTCATGCATTCTGTTTCTCTCTAAAAAATAAAAAGTAAAGAGATGACTAGCTTTTTATCTTCATCAGGTCCAAGTCTCAGGAGATGTTCCTTGCAATGAGTAAGACTGATGTGAGAGCTAATGAGATAGTGGCCAAGCACGGAGCTCTGATGACAATTTATTCTATTTCAGTTCTTTATTCCCATAGGAAACGGGGCAGTGACATTGTGTATAAATAAAGGGCCACCTGCGTAGGTCAGTTGGTGGATCCAACTGACCAACTGGCGACTCTTAGTCTCTGGGGTCATGAGTTCAAGCCCCACGTTGGGCGTAGAGCTTACTCAAAAAAAAATGGCAACTTGCTTTTGTGTAGAAAGTGTTGAGTAGGATTGCCTTGGAATCAGTGGCATAAAGAAATGGTGTTGGTTCTCTGACCAGGTCTTAACTTTACGTGCTAGTGACCAGTGACTGCTCTAGCCTCTAATCTGTAATAGACTGTTTCCACCAAGTGGTTCTAATAGATCTGGCATTCTGGATTTCCATCTGCCTCATCTTTCACCACTCACTACTGTGGGTTTTCATTTTATTTTATTTTTTTAAGTTTATCCTGAGAGACAAGAGCTCAAGTAGGGGAGGGGAAGAGAGAGGGCAACAGAGAATCACAAGCCGGCTCCTGGCTGTCAGAGCAGAGCCCTACATGAGGCTCGAACTGAAGAACCTTGAGACCATGACCTGAGTCCAAATCAAGAATTGGACACTTAACCAACTGAGCCACCTAGGCGTTCCACTTAATACTGTTTTTTGCCACCCTTCATATTATTTTGCTTCTCCATTCCTGTCCCCAAGTTCCAAACCCTTGGGAAAATATAAATGCACCACTGCAGATATTTTGGATCCTCGGTGCTGTATTTCTTGTTCTTTTACTGAACTTCAGTTCCTTTTCACAAACATTGCAGCTTTTACTGTTTTTGAACTTCCAGTACTATACAGTAGGTGTGGAAAAAATATTCACTGAGTACAAGTCATTTGATTCCCCCAACCCCCACCCCCTTACTCAGCAACTAAGTCTCAAGTTTAATAAAACCTTATCTTTAAAAAAGTCATTAGGCGGGGCACCTGGGTGGCTCAGTAGGGTAAGCATCTGACTCTTGATCTCATTGCAGATCTTGATCTCAGGGTCATTAGTTCAAGCTCTGAGTTGGGCTCCATGCTGGGTGTGACGACTAAAAAAAAAAAAAAGAAGGCATTAGGCATATTCTCTAGTTCTAGCTTTCCAGTTTATGAAGATATGCGTCTTAAACCTTATTTTCTGTAGATAATTATAGATACCTCCACCTATCCTATCCAGGAGATCTCCACTGCCCTACTTTCTAACTATATTTTGCAATTTCTTGAGCCTTGCTCAAGTATTCCATTATTTTCTTTCTTCAGTCTGGACTAAAAGTTTTAAAGAACACGAAAACTTAACCTTTCCTACTCCTTTCCACTATTGAGATTCCACAAAGAGTAGCTTATAGTTATATGTTCCCTCCAAATGCCTCAAGTCTCAAATGTTTATATCACCATCCCACTGATGACTGGTGATAGCCTAAAAGGAGACTCTGATGTGATAGGCTCTACCCTAGTCGATCAGTTAGCACCATGGACGTTTGCTCCTTATTTGGGACTCTTCTTCCTTGATGCCTAGGATTGTCATTCCCAATGTCTTTGCTTGCTTTTCGTCAGCAAATCCTGGATATGTGTATTTTTTTTTAAAGATTTATTTACTGAAGTAGCCTCTACACCCAACATGTGGCTTGAACTCGTGTCCCAAGATCAAGAGTCACACGCTCCATGAACTGAGCCAGCCAGGCACCCCAAAGATGTTTAAATTTCTTTTTTAAATTTTTAAATGTTTATTTATTTTTGAGAGACAGTGTGAGCAAGGGAACGGCAGAGAGAGAGAGAGAGAGAGAAACAGAGCTCGAAGCAGGCTCCAGGCTCTGAGCTAGCACGCCCAATGTGGGGCTCGAACTCTCAAACTGCAAGATCATGACCTGAGCCAAAGTCGGATGCTTAACCAACTGAGTCACCCAGGTGCCCCAGGATGTTTATATTTCTAAGATGAATAAATCCCAAAAACGAAAGGAAAAATTATCTGTGGTCCAGTTACTCAGTCACTGGTGGCTGTTTTTAAAATAACCGTTTTGTTTCTTTTTGCAGGATTATGTTTTGACATAGTTGTATTTATACATACGCATAAATCTTTTTTAAAATGTTTGTTTATTTTGAGAGAGACAGGGCAGGAGCAGGGGAGGGGCACAGAGAGAGAGTGAGAGAGAGAATCCCAAGCAGGCTCTGTGCTGTCAGTGCAGAGCCCAATGTGGGGCTCAGTCTCATGAACTGTGAGATCACGACCTGAGCTGAAATCAAGAGACAGAGGCTAACCGACTTAGTCACCCACATGCCCCCATATGCATAAATCTCATGTCTATTTTTTTTAACTTAACAGAATCAGAACATTTCTGTTACACATAACCTTCATAAACACTTTTAATGGCATTTTGTGAAGTGGATGAACCATAATTTGTTGTAAGATGTGAATAATAATTCATGAACATCTTTGCACAGATATTTTGAGATTGTTTCTAAAAATAGTTTACCAGCATTTTAAGACTTTCTACACATATTACCAGATTGCATTCAGTGAAGATTTTAAAAAATATCTTTGGGGGGTGGTGCCTGGGTGGCTCAGTCAAACATCCAGCTCTGGATTCTAGCTCAGGTTATGATCTCACAGTGTGTGGGTTCAAGCCTAGCATTGGGCTCTGCTCTGATAGGATAGCTCTGAGCTGATTGGGATTCTCTCCCTTTCTCTCTGCCCTTCCACCCTCTCTCACTCTCTTTCTCTATATAAACAAACAAACAAACCAAACTTAAAAAAATATTTTGAGGGGGCACCTGGGTGGCTAAGTCGGTTAAACATCAGGATCTTGATTTCAGCTCAGGTCATGATCTTGCAGTTTTGCACTGAGACCCGCATTGGGCTCTGTACTGACAGCATGGAGCCTGCTTGGGATTCTCTCTCTCCCTCTCTCTCTCCCTGCCTCTCCCCTATTCATGCTCCCTCTCTTTCTCAAATAAACTTAAATGTTTTGAAGGGGTAGTGTCAACATTTTTATTCCTCTAACATATCTCTTTCCTGTTCATGGAAAAACTTCTAAATCTGTCAATGTATTGTGTGGGGAGAGGAGGGAGGGATTGGGGACCCATGCTTTAGGAACATGTAGGGCTATATTGGGGGACGAATTTAAAAGAAGCAAAAGATATCATTTGACCAGATGCCATGCATCATTGATTTGTCAGTTTTCAGATTACCTGTGAATTTGAGCATTTCTCTATTCTTCACCTTTGGTTTTACATGGTAGTACTAGTTTTACTCTTAGCTTTCAGATGAGTGTCTGAGTATGCCATACTACTTAAGGAGTTAGTTATTGGTACTGTCTTGCAATTTGGACGAAAAGCTGGCAGACGCGGAAATTAAGTGACCGCTGAGCAATTCACTGTGTATGAAATACTCTGGGCATTTCAAAAATAGACACATTTTATGCTCTCTGGAAGCCTATTATCTGAGAAGACTGGATTGTAACTTTGGAGCTTAAGAATCCCGGGCTGTTTAATTTTTTTTTTTTTAAATGTTTATTTACTTTTGAGAGACAGAGAGGCAGAGTGTGAGCGGGGGCGGGGGGGTGGGAGTGGCTAGGGGCAGAGAGAGAGAGGGAAACAGAATCCCAAGCGGGCTGCAGGCTCTGAGCTGCCAGCACAGAGCCTGAGGCGGGGCTTCAACTCGCCAGCCACTAGATCATGACCTGAACCGAAGTCCGCCGCCCTTAACCTACTGAGCCACCCAGGTACTACCCGGCTATGTTTGTTTAAAATGCAGTTTTTCAGGTTCCACCCCCCTCCTCCCATAAGTTTTGATTCATTGGGTAGGGTGTGGAGGGCACAGATGTTTACAATTTTAATTAGTATCCTCTTGACTGTGGTGCAGCTGATTCGCATTGAGAAACACTATAAATAGGTACTATGGATAAATGAAAGAAACGTTAGATTTAAGTTGCCATCACTTGTAGGCCAGAAGAAGCACCCGCTGGGCCCAGGTGAGGTAGAAACGTTGATCCTCAGCTCAAGAGCAGCCTCGAATCCCTGACAATCTCAGACTCAAGCTAGCACTCTGGGCGGGTTCCTCTAGTTCCCCGGGCCGGCTGGAGCGCAGGGTTTGCCCCGCAATCTGCACTCGCGCTACCGGAAGCCCCGCCCTCTTTCTCTAGGCCCCTCCCCTGCACCGGTGGGCCCTGCTCTTGCCCTTACAGGTCCCGCCCCTCCTCCGGCTGGCCGCCAACGACGCCAGAGCCGGAAATGACGACGCCAGTGAAGCCTTTTGGGCGGGGCCTAGGCCGAGCAGCTCCAGAGGCTGCGATTTCACATCGGAAACAAAACAGCGGCTGCTCGGGAAGGAGCCTCCCCTGCCAGGGGCCGGTGTCGGCGGCGAGGGAAGAGTAGGTGCGTGATGGGGACTTAGGGGAGAAGGGAAGGTGCCCCTCACACGGTGCAGACACGGGCGGTCGCGGGCAGGGCCCGGCCCTGTGTCGCTGCCCGGGCCGTGGAGCCGGTGTCCTCAAGGATGAGGAACGGGGCGTGGCCGAGCGGCGACTGAGGAACCCCGAGTGGGGAACGAGGAGGGGCGGCCCGTTTCTCTTGCTCCCGGCGCAGCGCGCGGTCAGGTTGAAGAGATTCCCCTCCGTAGATTTGTTCCGGAAGTGCTGGTTTCCCGAAGACGTTTCAGGGCGCAGGTGCCCTGGGCCGGGATTGCCGGTCTTGAGTGGAGCAGGAGAAAGAGGAAGCTCCTTGCCCTCGGTCTGGTTGAGCAACTAGTGAAACTCCGCGCCTCATGCCCTGAGTGTGTCCTTGTCTGGGGAAGCGAGTGGCACTCAGGGCTAAGTTTCTTGTGTCTGACGCTCGAGGAGGAAAACAGGGTCTGATGCTTTTGCCTTGGTTGGAACTGTCGCGAGGCATGATATTCATTGCTTTGCATGTGTCTTAGATATTTACGTTTTGTTCCCGTTCGGATTCTTTTCAAATAAATATGTTTTTTGTAAGAGAGAAATTTAATAATAATTTTAAAAGCACTACTTGCCTGCTTTGGGCAAGATTAATATAGTATTCAGGATTTTGGGAGATAAGGATAAGATGCAAATAACTGTGGCATATATAACTATATGACAGAGCACGCTGTAAAGCTTGTAAGATTCTCTGAAGTTTCAGGCAAGTAGAAACCACATCTGGTTAGGGAGTCTTGTTATTTGAGTTTCTTTTTTAACAGTGGAAAGGGAAAGGTTTTCACTCCTGGAGTTAAAGTGGGAAGGGTATTATAATCAGGGTGTATCACAAACAGGGATTCTCTGGATCTTAAGCCTCTAGTGACCCACTCTGACCATTAAAATAACTGTTATGAAGGAGAATAAAACAGCAAAGTAGATTGGAGCTTGTTGCATTCGGCTAATTTCAGTCATCTGCAAAAAAGCCTGTTTGTTTCATTTCTCCTTAACTCATTTGCAGAGTTCAACCAACTTAAGCCCTCCCCCCACCCCCATTTAATAATAAACCCTTAACAATGAGAAAAAGATCATATATATTGAGTGCATGGATTCTCTCCCTACCCTCGCCCAGTAGATAATAGAAGTGGCATCTAGTATCTGGTTTTCCATTCTTCTGGGCCTAGGTATACTTTCTTTGAATGGATGTGATTTTTGCTGAATTTTAAGTTAATGGCTGTACCTGTCCTAGACTGCTGCAAGGATTTTCATTTAGGGGAAACTGAAGATTGAAGTTGGTCTCTGAGAACCACCCTAGCAGGAAAGTACAACATATGTTACCAAAGCTTATGTGATCCTGTTCCTCTCTCAGATCCAGGCTTCCTCTGCTCCTGCTTTCCCACTAATATTATTTTATTAAAAAATTTTTTTAACATTTATTTATTATTGAGAGATAGACACAGAGCGTGAGCAGGGGAGGGGTAGAAAGAGGGGGAGACACAGAGTCTGAAGTAGGCTCCAGGCTCTGAGCTATCAGCACAGAGCCCGACTCGGGGCTCGAACTCACAAACTGTTGAGATCGTGACCTGAGCCGAAGTCGGACGCTTAACCAACTGAGCCACCTAGGTGCCCCACTAATATTATTTAAAAAAAAAAAAAAAAAATTTTTTTAACGTTTATTCATTTTTTGAGAGACAGAGAGAGATAGAGCGTGAGTGGGGAAGGGGCAGAGAGAGAGGGAGACACAGAATCTGAAGCAAGCTCTAGGCCCTGGAGCCCGATGTAGGGTTCAAACTCATAGACTGTGAGATCATGACCTGAGCCGAAGTTGGATGCCCAACTGACTGAGCCACCCAGGTGCCTCTCCCACTAATATTATTGAAGATTATAGGGAGAGACTTCTTTATGGTATATTCTGAAAAACCTTTCAAAGACCTTTAATACTGACTCTTCATGTGATGTTAGGCAGATTTGGAATGTGTTTTACGAGTGACACTGTTGTGGTCAGAACTTTAGGCACATTAATCTAATAGTGGGGGCTAGAATGGATAAGAGAATTGAGGTGACTTTTGCATAATTCAGGTGAGATATGATGGGAGTTTGATCTTTGGTGATGACAGGGCCTTAGAAAGGAGGAAAAACATGAACAGGACATGGCATCCAGTAGAGAAGGAATAAAATATAAAGTTGAGTAGGAGGTTTTAAGTTTGGAGAAAGGGGGAAACGATTGCAGAAATAAGGAAGTAGGAGCAAAGAACTAGTTTAGAGAGGAACATGAGGAAGTGGTTTGGAAGTATCACTTTGGAAGTGCCAGCAGGTGAAGATGTCTCATGGACAGACCTGGAGCTGTAAATATGAGAGTCACTGAAATAGACTTTCTAGTTGATGTTGGAGCAATGCCTAATGAAAGGAAGGGGACAAGGAGGCCCACGCAGAATGAAGGAACACTTAGAATGAAGGAGTGGAAGAAGGGCGAGGAACCACCTGAGGAGCATGAGTGGCGGGAGGAGAACCTCCAGAGTTCAGTGTCACAAAGGCTGAGGAAGGGAGGGAAGCTTCGGGAAGAAGGCTGTTAGGAATTTTCAGTATCTGGCCTGGTATAGCAGAAGGAGCTGAAGATTTAGAGCAGCACTGTCTGGTAGAAACAGTATGAGGTACAAATGTTAATTTAAAACTTTTTTTAAAAGTTTGTTTATTGGCATAGAGGGGCAGAGAGAGGGAAAGAGAGAATCCCCAGCAGGCTCTGCGCTTGATCTTACAAGCTGAGATCATGAAATGGACTGAAATCAAGAGTCAGACGCTTAACCCACTGAGCCATCCAGGTGCCTCTCCCCTAAAACTTTTTAATGAACAAGTTTTATAAAGGTAGAAGGAAATAGATAAAATTAATTTTAATAGCCTATTTTATGTAACCTAGTACATCTAAAAGTTTTTATTTCAACATGTAATTAATATAAAAATATACTTGTCTGACTTCTCCTCTAGCGAGTTAGCCCCTTAAGGAAACAGAAGCATTATCTGATTTGGTAGCATCCCCAACAACTATCACAATGTCTGGTTTTGTAGAAGAAACTCTGAAAGTGTGTGTTGATTAAAGGGTATTAATGTTTGGTTTTCACACTGCCCCATACAGTTCCTTATTTTATTTTATTTTATTTTATTTTATTTTATTTTATTTTATTTTATTTTATTT